TAAAATACTTAAGACAAAATGCCGTATGAGATAAATAATCTATGAATGCATGTTACACATTGAAGATTAACATTTTCAAATTGCCTGTGATCCGACTTATTTTATAATTCTAAAACTATAAGCAAATTTCACCAACAGGAAATTTAATCCAAGCAATTGGGAATTTGAATTAGAAGTCCATTTTCTTTTGCTCGGTGCACACTCATATGCAGAACCCTTGGAGCCAAGTCATGCTTTTGGCTTATTGTGGTTTATTCTGTTGTTCTGTGAATTCTCGTGACCATTTTCGAACTTTTGCCAGCTTCCGCCTTTCACCTCTCCCTGTGCAACTTAAGTGCATGGCCCACGCTTATCGGTCACATCCATTCGCCCCCAAATCGCACACACCCTCCGAATCCCCGAATCCTCGAATCCTCGAATCCTCGAAAACACACAAAGAGAGACTTTTGGGGCTTAGGCCAAGATTTTGGGGCCAACAGTGTGGGCCGACAGTAAGTTCGGTAAGTGGACTTTGAGTGACCTTTTTGCGGGGATCCTGTGGCCATTCGGTTTTTCGCCTGGTATCCTGGCCCCACACAGATTGGGATATTGGGCCACTGGCTGACTGGATGGATGGTTAGTCGAAAGTTCAACACACAATAAAATTATGCAAATCTTGGGATCAGCCGCATACGATTTCCACTCATCCGCACACACACACAGGCACGCAAACACACACACACATACATTTAGTGCGGCCTACGCACTTAGTTTCCTTTTGAAAGGATGTAGCAAAAGTTTGGTTGCGGTTTTACTTTGGGTTCAATTTTTGATTTATTAATTGAAATAATTGGTGACGTTGGCAAGGGCTGCCATTGAGTGGCAAATTGCCACAGGAATTGATTTGAGCTCAAAAATAGAAATGCCTTGGTGGAATATTCTATGATTCGTGGTCAGAGATTTTGGGATTTCGCTTGGGTTTTTGTGATTGCTAATGGTAAGAGGATGTAATGTTTACATTTTCGATTTTAAATACATAAGTAATAAAGATGAGATTTTCATATCGCAAACCTTACTTAAAGGTTTTTACTAGTATTGGAATCTCTTCTGTTAATTTACAAATCCAATTACCCTAGTACCCAGTATTTCCTAATTGATTTAACCAAGTCTAACCGCTTTATTATGAAATTCAGCTCTTATGACTTATTTTAAGTCAAGAATTATGCCATCTACCCCCTTATAAAGGGTATTGTAATGCGAAAACACAGCAACAGCAGGAGAGTGACAGGATGTGTGGGTGTGCGTGGCTGGAGCGTCTAACAACCCAAATAACTGCTTAATTTGTTTTTCCTCCGACCCGTCCTTTGAAGGACCTTCCCAAAATTCACCTTTGCTGTTTGCTTGCCCAGCAGCAGCAACAACAACAACAACAACAATAGCAACAACAACAAAAGGAACATCAGGCGATGAGGGTAAACAATGGCTAACCTGAACCCAAACTCAAACTGGAACCCAAAAACCCGAAAAACCCCCTTAAAACCGTCAGCTGGCTGTTAGTTTGTTGACTTTAATGGACCAGTTTTATAGAAGCGGAGAGTTTGGGGCAAAGGAAAAAAGGAGGATACCCCGGAAAAACTGACACCGCCTGGTCACATGCGGTTCAACGCCCCCGAACGAGAGGAGATTTTCCAACAAGGCCAGTTGAGGCGGCAGAAATTATTTGCCACTTTTTCGTAGCTTTCGGTTCAAGGGGTTAAGAGCGTTCCGTTCTTGTTTATGCCTAAATCAATTTGCTGCATGAACGGGTCTTAAGTGTAAGCGAAGGGAAAAGGATACATCCCCCCTCCCCAAAGGACCCATCCCCTCACCCCCACACCCACCCCTTCCCCCTGCGAACCATTCATATTCATACGTGTCCCGGACTAAAGGATTATTAGGAACTTTCCACTCGAAAAGTGAGACGTGAGTGGCCTTCTTTTCCGGGGGTTGAGGTCTCTGTGGTTTGTGAGGGGGGAAAATGTTGGAAATTAATAAAAACAAATTATAAAGGCATTTCTACGGAGCTCTGGCGAACAGGAATTCGAGCTGTTTATGAATATTCTGGAATTGTTTCTGCCTTTGGCATCCACACACACACACACACACACACACCAAGTATTTGGCCCATCTGAGGAACTCTTTCGCATATTAAAGCCGCAAAATGGGGAGAAGAACGTAGACAGGTTGACCCTTCTGCGGAGCTGCATTCCTGGCCATATGCAAAATGTGGGTCAAATAAGCCAGAAAGGATTGCGCGCAGAGCCATTACGTGATGCACGTGCCACACCTCAGCAGGTGGGCGTGGCCCAGTGTGTCTCTGTCTCTGTCTGTCCCTCTCTCACCTCCCCCCCTCCCTTTGCTCTGTCGAAAATGCCACAATTCATCTTTTTAATCGCGACCATAAATCAAATGCGCGCCACAAAAATGCAGGCCAAAAGGTAAATTCTTGCACAAAAAAATCGTGTTGCATACTTCGTGGCGCGCTTTAAGTTTGATGGGAAAAGTTTATGGGGAATAGATGTCTAGGCAATAATTGCTCTCTGGGGGGTAGGAAAAACGCGATTTACTTTCGTATACCTAAAATTGCGGTGGTACTGAGGTTCCCTTAAAAAAAATAAAAGTTACTAGTTACTTATTCCCGTTTCTAAACGTTTCAACTATTTAAATTCTCTAGCAATAAGCGTTTCAATCATATTCATTTGCAAAACACTTCTGTTAATTGGGAAATTCATTATAAATCTCAACCCCGCAGCCGTGTCCCATCTCATTGACCCCTGTGTCCTGCAGGTCGATCAAAACCCAATTAACTTGGGTTGTTAAACGAACCAGCATCAACGCCACACGCCAGCCAATAATAATAATTACAGAGCTGGTCAAATTAGTTGCCCGAAAATGAGGGGCGAACTTGGGGGCGGGGGGGGGGAAGGGACTCCTTTCACTTGCCGTCACATAAATCAAACTAAACTCCCTGTGCATGTCCTTTGTTGACCATGTTCGGGTCGATTGTGGACCAAGTCGTTAATTGCCTTAGCAAACTGCCATCGCCTTCGCCTTTACCCTTCAGAGAGGCGGTCGTCGCAAGGTACAGGAAAAATATTTGTGTTTAATTTGGTTACACACATTTTGGTTTGCTGGAACTGCAAATTGATTATTACTAGCCAAAACGCAGGCAAATGAACAAGGTGGATGATCAGAGGGGGGATCCGAGGGGGTGGAAGACCCCAAAGGAAGTGGAATGGGGAAGAGTCGTGGCAATGGAGCCGCAATCTGCACAACTCTCTCTGCCCCGCACTTCCCCCTTGCCGCTCCATTGGTCTGCGGTTTTTGTCAACGAGCGGAGCGACAGGCACGACGACATTGCAATGTTGTCGGTCGTCATGGGTTAACATGGCTAGGTTGGCACAAGGGGTGTGTATACACAGGGAGAAAGCAGAAGAAAAAACATTATCAAAAAAAACATGAAAGGTGGATATTTTAAAGTTTTCAGAAAGTGTTTATAATTTTCCATGCTTGACTAGAAAATATTTTGACATTTTAATAGAACAAAGCAACAAAAGCTTATTTTCAAGAATCTTCAACATTTAATTTAAATTAAGTATTAAATAAATCCCAAAAACCTATGTTTTGTTAGTAGTTTTAGCCCTTAAGAATTTTCAAATATTGTTTACCTATTTCGTGTTTCAAAAGTTGTTCTTTTTGTTTCCCAGTGAGTGAACATGCGAAAGATTCGCCACAAACGCGAATCTCGATGTGAGCTGGGAGTCTCCGGTTTCAGTTGGCAGATTCAGCTTTCAAGACCCCTCCCCCTTTCTCCTTTCCCCCTCTCATTTCCCCGCTTCGCCCCCTGATGATTACACAAAATTGAATGCCCGTGCATCCTCTCCGCGGATGTGAGTCCACATCTCCGTGCGATTCTCCGTCCCTGGCTGTGTGTCAATTTGAGTGTTGAAAAGTGGTCTCCAGTGGCGGCGGTTTAGTTTGCTTTTCGCGTCTCCCAATCTCGCTCTTTCCCCCACTTTCTCCACTGGTCTTTCACCCTGCAGAAAGTCGCGAATTTCTGCTTGCCATTTGTGTGCGGATAACTTTGTTGTTCGCCGTTTGTTGTTTTCCCTTTGCATGTGTGGAAATGTGGGAAGTGCGTGTGTTTTATTTATACACTCCCACATCGCCACCCCACTCATTTTGCAGCCCCGAAAAACCCAAGCCTTCGGTGGGCGTTTCGCCTAAATGCTTCCCAAATTCAAATTCAATAGCTGACGAGGAACTTTTGCTACTTAAGGGGAGAAACTATCTGGCAGATACATTAGAGAGGCCTGGAATGAAGTTTTCTTTTGCAAATCAAAGACCAAATACAGTTTGTTTAAAAAGTTCTTCGAAAGTTTTACGAGTCTGTTTCATGTGATAAATTTCCCAAAATTGATACAGCACAATTTAATGAATGAGTTTTGCTAATATTTGGTTATAAAAGTTTTAAGGATTAGTGCTACCTATTAATACATTTTATCCTTAACAAACATGTTTAAAACGCTGTGTTAACCTAAGTTACTAGTTCTATTGTTTCCCTCTCGAGTAGAACAAGTAATATAGTTTGCAAAGAAATATTCGCACATCGTAAATACTTTTCGTAGGAGTAAAGTTCGGTACGCCTAATTACAGCACGCACTGTGTGCCGAACTCCAGAACACGAGAACAAGTTGTTGCATACTTCCATCGAGCAAGTTGCCTGGGAATCCCCCCGTAGAAGTGCCTAAGTAGAGCAAAGAACATTCTCGTTACTTGTTCCTTGTCGATTGAGCGAACCAGCAAAAGCCGCAACAACTTGCGAAGTAAGTTCAAGTCGCAAGTCGCTATTTCGAAGCCCTTGTGCCCCGGCAAAGTTGCAGTTGCCACCCGAGTTATCAGCCGCAAATAGGCGGCGTGTATGCTACATATGCAAATGTTTCCCGGGAGAAAGGAACCAGGACTTAGGACTTAGGACTCACCTCGAATGTTGTGAAGACGATTTTCTCGATGGAGCCGAAGTAGCGTTCCCACAGGACCTGAGTTTGCTGGCGAAGGGCGAAGATGCGTTCCGCCGATATGGAGCGCACGATATCGGGTACCTATATATATATATATATATATGGAATGGAAGAGAAGATGGAGGGGGGGATAAGCGATGGTTATACCCGGCGTATACGTAACCTTAAGCTTAATAGATTCAGTTCATCCCGGCACCTGAGCCACAATGCATTAATTTACAATGCACAGCTTAATTGGTTAAAGGATTTCAGCCACCCACGGGTGCCATCCATCATAATTGCAGGGCAGGAGGATCGCTTGCCTGCTTGGTTGGTTGGCTGGCTGGTTGGTTGGCTGTGGCAGAAGTGGCCCACTAAATTCAAACAGTTTAAAGAGTTTGCCCGGCCCGTCGAGTCGAGTCGAGTTTCGAGTCCGTGCTCAAGTTTCCTGCTCAAGTTAACTTAATTAATTGCATTTCCTGCCAATAAACTACAAAGGCAAACATGCCAATGGACGCGGACAGGAAGTGCAGGAGGGGAAACGGAGAAGTAGCAGGAAAGGAGGAAAGGAAGAGGAGCTGGGGAAATACCAAGGGCAGGGCAATTGGCAAACATTGCGCCAAGACTTTGTCGCGAATGAAGTGCGACAGTAGCAGAAAGTTCCACAGAGAACAAATGCAAAAGAAAACTAGAAGGATTTTTAAATCTTATAAAAGTTTGTCATAAGTAAAATGGAAATCTGGTCCTCTAATACGATTTGAAATCAATTTATATCAAATGGCAACAATTTATACTTTTATGATTTCCAGTAAGTAGTTGAAGTACCACTGGTAAAAATCACCAAAAAATTTCACTGTGTACAGGCGTAAGCCCGTGAAGAAAGGACACTGGCAGGCGGGCAAACAAATGGAGCAGGACACGCAGGAGTGTCCGAAAGCCTTCTCTTCGGTGGAACACGAAAAGGTGCGGACACCTGAATGGAGAGCTCCGAGCCACTCACCTCGCTCTGATTGGGAAATCTTCGCCGCAAACAAAAGAAAAGCAGCGGGTTAAACCCAAGAATGTGGACAATCCTAATGGAGTAGCCAAAGTCTGATAAGCCTTGAGTGCGATTCCTGGTGGCCGTGCTTTTCGATTGCTTTTACGGGGAATTAGCACGGGCTTCTTTTCTAGTTTTTCTAAGTGCAACATTGCAAACTAAGCGGATGGTTTAGCCTGACCAAGGAAAATTGTATTTACAATTTGATATTTATATACAGAATCAGATATTTGAATGTAATAGAAACGAAATGAAACGGACCAGAAATAAATAGATCTTTCTTCAAATGGAATCAAGCTATAAAGATGGTAAAAACATTTCCCTTTTCCTAACAAACTTTTAAATTAATGTTCCTGTTCGAATCTGTTGCAGGCCAAGGACATGCAAGGACCTCTAAGCAGCGACTAGCAGGTGCACAAATCTTGAAACCCTTGACAGAATATTCATCAATGGCAAACGACCAGACACTCACAGAAGCCAATAAAAAGTGCAACAAATATTTGCGACGCCGTAAAGTGACAGCTCTCTTGGTTGTGTTTATAAGTGTTACACCAGCCAACCAACCAACAAACCAACCAGCCAACGAACCAAACCAAACCATCCTGCGCACAAAAACAATGAAAACTTTACTTTTTTTTTTTACTTTTTTAGACAAGGACCCAAATGAAATCGCTCTGGCTAAACGACTCCAAAAAGTGGCACACGAAATGGCAGAGAACGCTGGGCTTTCAATATTTCATACGGAGGCCATATCCCAACTATATAGATATCAATAAATATGTAGGACCCAGCTCACCTGCAGCAGGAGGCGCTCATCGGCCCAAATGGCGGCCTGCTTCCAATCGATTTTCGATTCAAATGGCAACACCCAGGCATTGGACAATAGTACGGGAATGCAACCAGCCTGCAAGGCTTCGAGGAATCTGCAAAAAAATGTAAAAAAAAAAAAAAAAAAAAAAGAAAGGGTCGAACACCCAAAAAAGAAAAGTAAAAAACGCCGATGAAAAAGTGCCATTGTGAAATGTAAAATGAAAATTGTTTTTTATGTTTCCACCCATTTTTTTATTACTCTTGCCCGTTTTTTCTGTGGGTTTTTGTTTGTGCTTACCTAAAGGAACCCAAACGACGTCCGCGCGGCACCAAGCAGAAAGTGGAATTTTGCAGTAAGGTCTCGTAGTCGTACCTGCAACGAAGGTGCAAAAGGGATAGGAAATGAGTGAGTGAGTGAGAAAGAAAGAGAGAGAGAGAGCGGGCAGGACATGTAAATTAGTAAGGGCCATGGCATTGCATAATGGGATTCTGGAGCAATTAATCGAACAAAGGCGCCGAGCGACGAAAATGCGACCCCAAGGAGATGCAGACAGCCGTTAAGAACTTATCGGCATTACAATGTGATAATGGGTGGATGGTGATAGTGTATAAGGAAATAAAGTATAGCTGAAGCATTCACTTCAATTGTAGCAAACTTAAAAGTAATTCAAATTGATTTTCCAATTAGAGTCCAGCTTCGGGTTTTCTAAGAATCCAATTCCTTTGATTTAAATTAGTGTAATTATCTTTTGGGCTAGGGGATGAGTTTCACCCAGATTTTCTTAAAATTACAAGGAAGTCTCTTTTGTTGCTTGGAAATTGAATATGTTTCACTCAACCCGTTCTTCTTTGCTCTTTGATATTTGGCGAAATACCAGTAATTCCAGCTTAATGCTCAACAGGGCGTATGCTTAGCATTTGCTCACATTACTCATACGCCGCGTTATCCGACTACGCAAAGCGATGAAAAGTGAAGGTCGGGGGAGAAAAGGAGGAACACTACCGAGCTGAGACCGCAGTACGCGTTTCGTGCGGCCACTTTAATCTTTAATTCCAAAATCAAAGCCACGGAATGCATCAAACGGGTGTAATACGTATACGCCATGTACGCCAAACATTGATTCAGGTGTGGGTGAGCGTTTGTGTGTGGGTGAGTGTGTGTGGGTGTGGATGTGTATTGTCCGCAGGGGCTGGTGGTTTTTAGAAGGGCGGGAATTAGGAGGTGCTTTTGAGGTTGGGCAGCGGCATTGGTGCGCTGGCAGTTTACAAGTTAAGTTGCGCGTAAAATTACATGTAGTTGGTCATGTTCTGCCCTCCAGGCATTACACACAGACACACACACACACACACAATCACCCACAGCCGTCCCTATCATCCTGCCAGCCCCCTTTATCGCATTCCCTCCTGCAAATTCCGTTCTCTCTCCATGAAACTCCCCTAAATGGTCAGCAATTTGAGCTCGGCACATTCGCGTTTTAAAAGCAAAATCAGCAAAAAAATTTATTAGGAAACTGCATGCGCAGCTTTTTGGACATTGACAACGCACCGAAAGCTAAAGAGAGAAGGAGAAGGAGGAAGAGTAAGAGAAAGAGATAGCGTTAGATGGTCTAGAAAAGGAAAGGGAGATGTGGCCTGCAAAAGTCCTAGACTTCGGTATGAATAATCTTGAGCAAACAACATAAATTGCATGTTGGCTTGCTTCTGACATTTTGGCGAGAGTTGAAAAATTACACTGCCAAATGCATAGGCATGACTTGAAAATGGCAAAACGGAAGGGAAAAGGAGCCAAAAAGGATGATTAAGTTCATAAAATTATGCAATGCGCATTTAGTGATGATACAAATTAAATATATTTACCTACTTGTAAGAGAAAATGTATATTAAAAACCAAATGATTAAATAAGTCCAAATAAACTTTTATTATAAAATTTCCCCTTGAGCTCCCATTAAATCGTATTCCAAAAATAGCAAAGGAAATATACAAAGCCATTTCGAGCAGAAAATAATCTTGCATTGCGATTGTTCAGTTTATGTTCTTAAAGCTATTTGTGTTGAATGGGTCATTTGCCTGAATTTGCCTGCTCTGAGGGAATAAAAAGGGACCGCCAGCCTTTTTTATTGCACTTAATTTATGTAAGCAACTTCTTTTTTGCACTTCCGCGTTGAGAGGGTCGGTGCTTTTTTTGGGCCAACTAATTAGACAACATTATGCATACAAACTCGGCTATACATTCGGATACATATGTCGGAACATTTGCAGCTCCTTATGCAGGTCACTGCACTGGCTTATGTGTAGTATCCTTCCCCTGATCCCCGAACCCCTTTTCCCCATTTCATGTTCGCTTGTTAGCTACTTGTTTAAGCAATTAAGAGCCGCCAACATGCAACGTTGTTGTTGTTGTTGTTGCTGTTGCTGTTTAGACAGCAGCTTAGTTTGCCCTGTGAACTCGTCCTCCCGCCCAACTTTAATTAAATGATTTTTAGCTTTCAGCCAAGTTGGGCGAACAGTTCTGTTCGGTTCAGTTAAGTTCGGTTGGGTTGTTGGGGTGTTTAGGACTCCCCAGTTCCGGGCACCCCGGCAACTTCATGCGAGCCAAACTTTTACTATTTACACGCGTTTGTTGTCAAAACTTCCTGCCACCGCTTCTGTTTCGAAAACAGAGATGTTCCTGCCACTGGCCGTCTGCCTAGTTAAGCTGCAAATGCGAAAAGCTCGGCCACTTCATTAGGCATTAGACAGATGTTTCGGAATTAACTGGCAAAATGCAGCAGCAATTAATATGGCTTTTGATTTTTCCTCATTTGCATTTTTGAAGTGCTCCTAACTGAGGTTTTTCTGACTGGATTTCCTTGATATTGGCCGAGGGAAAACTCTTAGCAAAAGTTTATCTCTTTGCTTACCACTTGAGTGCTTTATTTTAAGAATTATCCCTTTTTTAACTTTCTCTTAAGGAGTTCACAACTTGCGTGTTTTATTACTTAGGCAACAAGTTGTGAATTTTCTTTTCCTGCCTTCTTTTCTAAGCCTTGAAAACTTTTTATGTTGTATATCTCTGTATATTCAAGGCTAACTGTGCGGCAGTAATTACCCACATTAAATTTTAAATTAATAGCTAGTTTAAATAAAAACTTTTGCAGCATTTCAATGCATAGGGTATTATAATTTCAGTTTGAATTTTGCAACGCAGTGAATGAGAAATCTCAGATCCGTAAAATATATATGGTGGCGTATACGCAACCCATAACTTTGTCAATTTTAATCCGATTTCAAAGTGGCATACCTCTAAACGTTTGTAATCACATCCTTGATATAACTTCATTCAAAATTTTTCATTTTCCGATGGTCAAAATTTTGACCCCTGTTCATGTCAGATTTTTTCAAGTTTCTGATGGCTTGCCAAAAAGGTGAACCGAAACGACACTTTGTGCGCCCATTTTCATTTATGATGACTAAAAGAGTATATAATTTACATTACCGAAGATAGCTTGGTTCTTCTTTTATTTATATTTAAATCCTATGTGGTTAAGCAGCCTAAAAATAAAATTTAATGATGGAGTGTAATGAACTTAATCAAAGTTTTTTCCTTTTTTAATGAATTCTTTAATTTTATGTCTGGCGACATCAAGGATTTTTTCAAATTTAATACAGGTTTTATGTATAATTTGTTTTCTCTTGTTAAAAAGTTTTTCAATCGTAATTGCTTTGCTTCTCCAATGAAGAAAATCTTTGCAAATTTATGAACCTTTCTAGGAAAGCAACAAGTCACTTTTATATTGTTTGTTTCGAAGCCTCGGAAAACTTTTCTCAATAAGAATTTCAGCACATGCCCGGCAATTACTTAGTCAGAGGTAAATCGTTTGAATTCCCCACCTGTTGCCAGCTCTTTTAGACGAGAGGAGATTTCGGGGAGGATGGAGGATGGATTTTAGCATGGGGCATGGAGCAAAGCCACAAAGTAAGTCACTTCAGTTCATGTCAATTGCTTGAGCCCAGGCCAGCAGAAAATTAACATAAGCAACTGGCAGTGGGTGGCAGTGGGTGGAAACCCACTAGGCTCGCAGCGGGCATATAATTTAAGTGGTTTCCAGCTGTCAAAGGTTGCCCTCCTGCCGCCGGTGGTTCCATTTTCCTGGGCTTTGTGGATTTTTTTTTCCCGGAGCTGTTTGTTGTTCGGGGAATTCTGGTTCTAGGGCTGATTGAGTGACTGACTGACAAACTGACTGCCGGGGGGAACGGAATGAGGTTGTGATTTCCCATTTAGTCTCATCATTTGGGCTTTGCCTTTGACAGGTAGAGCATCCACCTTTGGTTTTCCCTACTTCGGGAATGTAATCCACCTTTTGTAGTTTTCCGCATATCGCTGCACGAGTTCTTTTCAATTTTTCCCCCTGTCGAGTATCGTTCTTTTGTGCTTCAAATTCTGCCCTGTCATTTGTGCTTTTTCCCCGGAACTCTTGTAATTTGGACTCGGTGGCGTATACGCAACGATTAGTTAATTGCTGAAAGTAAACTATACGAAACATTTTGCCCATGGCTTGAATTGCCTGTCAGCTGCAGCGAAATGCAAAATTAATTAAAAAGATCCTAAGAACAGCAAAAATGAGCTCTCAAAAAAATATTAAAACTATAAATGAGCAAAAAGTGGTGGGCAAAATGTCAGGCCAGAACTCAAGTTGGCGAAAAGTTTCCCGAAGGATGGAGAGGGATTGCCATGAATTTCAATGTAAATTAAATTTTTCAAAAACAGCATTTGGAATAAAGACAATTTGGAAAGCATTTCGAATGCGCTGCAAGTCCCCAAACACAAAGACAGAAAGCAAAGAACAAAGTGCAGCCCAGAAAAAAAATCAAACAGAAAGACCAGATAGAAAAAGGCAGCCACCCACACGCAGGAAAAAAAAAATGAACAAGAGGGCGAAAAACGCAGCTGTAAAAGTTGCCATTGTTTGGCCAGAAAGCAGTAGAAGCCATGGCAAAAAGATGATAAGGAGAAGCGGAGGAAGAGCAAACAAAAAATGCGTGCAGAGAAAAAATTTAAAAAAAATTGTTTGCGTTTACAATTTTAAAACAATATTAAACATAAAGTTTATTGGAAATTGAAAAGATTTTTTTAGAGATTTATACAGCTTTATCTCAAGTCAATAGGCAAACATTTGTGCATCTTATTGACAAGGTTAATATTTAGTTTCGTACATTTTTTTATTGGAGAATTTTTGTATAATATTTTGGATTTAAGAAAAGGAAAATAATTTTTTTTTTTAGATATTTATTTTTTCTCTCTGCAGAGCAGCGGCATCATGAGCATAAAAATAAGTGGAAACGGCAGCGAAACATTAAACATGGCGCATTAGTTACAAGTGCAAAGCTCGCGTCAAGCGCTGTCGAGAGACCGCCAACGTCCCTGTTGTCCCTACCGCCTTTTCCCCTCCCCTTTTCCCTTCTGCCCCCGCTCCCTTGGCCATTCTTCTGGCCATTTCCCCAGCTTTCTTTGTGACCATCGCGGCAGTCGCTTGTCGCCAGCTTGTGATAATGGCTCATAATGAAAGCTGCAGAAGCATAACCGCATGAAGACGCCGTGCAATTGCGAATGCAGCTCACACAAAATGCGTGTGCGAGTTGTGCAAAGGAAAAGGTTTTCCCTCTGCTTTCTGTATTCCGAGGGTGTCGGCCAAAAAAACATAAAAAACAAATGCATTTACGATTATTACAGAAACTCGAAAGCATTGTTATAGTCGCACTAGAAAAGGGCGGTAGCATAAATGTTATAGTTTAAGAAGTGAGCATTGGATTGCTTTTCGTGTTCAGTTTGTAAGGGAAATCTTTTTCAATTCCTAAGCTCAGAAAACGTATAACATTGCCCACGAAATCTTAAAGAAATGAATTTAAAATTCATTGAATATTTTCGTGTATCAACGGTACGTCGTCTTTGAAATTAAAAGTACCTCAGAGCCAAAATCTGGTTATTATTTTCTGGGCTCGTGGCAGGTCCTTATGCCCAGGACATTACAGCAATGGCCGGCAATTACTTGGCACGTTTTTTGGGGCAACTCACACACACACACACACACACATACACAGTGGCAAGTGGCAGCAACGCACACAGCGATATAATAGCAAAGGGGAAATAGAAGAAAGTACTCAAAGAAATTGCCATTGCAGGACTGAGCAGCCTTCCCTGGTTACTTGCTCTTCCTCAGGAGCCGCCGCCTTCTGTTTCTTCTGCTGTTCCTGCTCCTTTTGCTCCTGCGCCTGCAAGTGTGTCGCCTTTTAAAGTGATTTATGTGGAAATCTGAGATTAACGTGGAAAGTGGCAATTCGGAGGGAAAGGGAAGAGAAAAGAAGGGAAGGGAAGGGAATTTTCTTCGAACAGGTGCAACGGCATCTGCACCTTGCACCGAACCGAACTTTTCGCTCGCCCTCCTTTCGTCCTGCATGTTGTTGATAATGATGATGCTGGCATGAAAATTTATTACTTGGGAAATTACATTATGAAAAATGCATAAAGCCGGATCCAAGGGGAATATGAGAGGGGGCCAAATAGCAGGAATTGGGGTTCTTTAATGAGTTCTGATACTTCGTTTACGTATGTTTAAATTAGTTTGCATGTTCGATGAGTTCAGAGCGAATGTTTTTAATGCTTCATATTTATGGAAACGCAAGTTTACCTTGAGAACTTAACAAGTGCTCGTCAAAAATAAATTCAAACCACGCAATATATTAAAATCTATTTTACATACATTTCCTAGTGCACACTTTTCACATTTTTATCCTCGCTCATCGCGCATTTGTAAATAAAAATATTTTGGCGATGCCAAAACCGCAATCGAGTTCCCCCAGAGACCTTGAACTGCGGAAAAGCTTCCTGGCAAAACTGCACACTCACACACAAAACTACGCACATTAACACACCCGCAAATAAGTTTCGAAAATTGCGTATTGAAAAATGAACAGTCAGAAAAAAAAGTTATAAATTGTTGAGCTCAAATTAAAGGCCCACAAAAAGTTCAAAGTTGCCGCGGGAAAACCTTGAGGCACTGGGGTGGCTGTAGTTACGTGTGGCTGCAACAGTTGGCGTGGCCTGCCAGCAACGTGGCGTATACGTAATTTCGTCGCGTCTGCTGTTAGCGGCAAAAAAAATACGAAACTCAGACACACACAAAGTAACACACACAGCGAAAAAGAAAATGAGGAACAAGTTTTGCTCCCAAGGACATTTACATGGCGTCTCATTATTTGCCACAGTTGCTACTTTTGGCTGACTTCAAAAATAAGCAAAAGTCTAACAAACAAGCAAAACCGCATAGTTGTACACTAAGAACAATTTCATTAAGTGAAGGGAGAATTGATGAAATTCTAATTATGAAAAATATGCTATAAAAAACTAAGAAACTACTAAACAAAATAAACAAATAAATAAATAACGAAACTCCTCACTTCTATTTTTCTCTGTAACCCAGAAAGTCCGCTAAGTAGTGGCGACCGCAAAGCCGAAAAAGAAGCCAAAACTGGATAAAATCGTTGACCTCGTATCAGAAACAGCAAAGTAAAAAAAAAAATAAAGTAGAACTGGCGACGTTTGGCTTGTTTTTACCCATCATCATCAGCATTATCATCATCATCGGCGGCGGCTCATCAGCCTACGTCCTCGATTTCCCGCAGCGGTGTTGCATATGGTGCATGACATCGTCATCGGCGGCAGAAGCCATTGACGCCTTAGGCTCATTACAACAGCAACAAAGGAGCAGCCAAAAAATTTAAAAAAAGTCCGCAAAACGACAGCGGCGGCAACAAAAAAATTTCATTAAAAGCAGCTCAAGGTTTTTGAATGCAGTTGGAAAAGTTTTTTTTTTTCCAAAAGCAGGCTGTGGCAAAGGGAGCGTTGAAGTAATAACAAAACTTTTTAATGGATTTTGCGTAAGGGAATACGGCTGTTTACTTATATATTATATATTTATGTGCACATGATTGGGGAGTTGGATAAATTAAACATGACTTTGTGGCCTAAGTTTTGTAGTAAAAGATATTTAAGGAAAGCGAGCTTCTGGAATTATAAACAGTTTATTACTTTAATGTATATTTAATTTCATCAATACTCGTCTATATAAATATTCCTAGAAATTGACCCTCAAATTCATACTTTCCCTAATGACTTCAATTTGATACTTGGCTGACCATTTTATCCCCAACTCTCGCTTTCCATTGCCTTCATAGAAAACGAGAAAACTTTACTAAGTCATTGTCAAATTGAATGGATTTCGGTTTTTGGCTACAGATTTGCTTGGGATTTGCCACCCGCGATACCCCTCTACCCTCATCACTATGTATATTAACAGGGGCAGCAACAACAATGCGCATTTTGCATATTAATGCCGAGGAAAACTCATCAAAAATACAGGAGCTCCACTCACTCAAAGAACTTTGGCGCCCACCCGCATTCATGAGCTTTTAGAGATTGTGTGCAAAAAATCGTTGATGCTATTCAGGGGTATTATGCAATTTTCTCAAAATACATACATATATATATATATTCAGTTAGAGCGAGCACATGTAGAAGAAGGATGGGAGGGAGAGGAAGGAAGATGGCGAAAGATATATCTGACAGGTGCATTAACGAAGTTTCCAGACAGCGAAGACCCCTTGATAAAAAATGATGTGAGTGGAAAAGCAATTTGCTTGATTATGTAGAACAGTGCAGGGAGTTGAGGGGCAAAGATGGGCGGGGGGCCAAAGTCGCAAAAAGTGGGGGGCATAAATCGCTGACGCTTGACGCCAAAGCAGATTTGTCGCATAAGTCATGTCAAATTACTAGCGGAAAAAAGGAGACAGACAGCAGACGGAAAAAAGGGGAAGGCTTGCCACCGAAAGTGGCACATAAAATCTGAAAAATTACTCTCAATTAAAAGTAAGAGGCAAAAGGGCTGCGTTGAGTTTTAGTTTTACATATTCATTTGAAGCCTTGTTAAAAAATATGATTTTAAAATCCAAGTATTCCTTGAGATGGTAGCCAAAACAGTTAAATTTTCCTTACCATTTGGCATTTGTTTTTAAATTTAAAATGTACAAATTATATAATGATTAAATTTATATATGTACTTTTTATACTCCTGTTGAGTCTGTTATCCGCGTACAGTTCAACCTTTAATAACACAATTTGTATTGATTGCACGGATGAAAACAAGGAAAGATGCCATATTACCAAAACCGGCTTTGAATGCTTCAATCAAACGAATCAAGCTAAATATTGGGATTATTATGAGGATCACTTTGGCCTCAATCGGAATCCTCCGAGTAATAAGGATTTAAACGTTTGCATTCCGAAGCGATTGGAAATTCACTGCATAGAGAGTATGAATGGAATTTTATTTTTTGCGATCCCCCAATTAGCTTCCAATGAATTTTAGATAACAATTTCAAGTATGTGATCGTTTGGTCGCCCGAACTTGGTTGCCAACTGGTGCAAAGGGACTATGACGAAAAGGAGATATGTTTTACTGCCAGACAAACGTGTCCGTGTGAATATGAAGAATCAGGAGGAACTAATGGTTTACCAGTTTTTATTACCAAGTACCTAGTGCTACTCATCACAGTCCTCCAATTTTAGATATATATTTTTCATTTTCTCAATGACGGTTCTTCAACTTGAAATCAAAATTTATACACCAAAAATTTCAGTTTCTACATAAATATTTCCATATTGAAACAGAATACAAAAGAAGATAAAGTATAAATTTATGTGATTGACTTTGTCCCATTTCGACATTTATTTCCACTTCAACAATAGACATCAGAGTGATGAGTTCATCCCCGACAGCCTTTTCTATAACTTCATTTGCACCATTAATTTGGAGCCGAGTTTGGGGCGGCGAAACTTTTTAAATCATCTGACCATGATTGAAAAGTCACCGTCCTGTGTGCTCATCCTTGAATTTTTCGACTCCGTCGCTAAACGAAATCCATTGGCATTGCAAATGCCTTTGGCCCAAGTGTCGTGCCATTTAAATGAGCTTGTCAAGTCGGATTTCAGCACATTAATCACCACGCACATCCGAAAGATACATACCGAAGTATCTAGCAGGGTAAAGTGGGCGGGGCCGAGTCTCCGGTTAATGGCCAAAAAGGATGGGGCGTGGCAGCTATTAGCACCATGGCGGAGGCTAAACAAATTACTTGCGGACCCAATGACAGCTAGAAACAATTTCTGGCCACTTCGCCGGCGACAATCATCGTCATCGGGGGCTTCATTGAACGGGGAATTGGGGGTTTCAGGGGGAGTTGTTTACCATCTCTGTCTCTGCTTACCTGTCGTACTCGCGGTTGTCCTCGTCGCAGCGATTATCTTGCAGCTCCCGCCAACTCTTCCCGTGGCGACAGGTGGTGACCAGGACCATGTCGCGTCCGTTGTGCAAGTGGAAGAGCGAGTTGCGTGTCTCCGAGCCAATGCCGTGCACGTAGCTGCAAAAATCAAGGAAAATGGTGTTTATATTGGAAAAGGACTTTAAGGAATTGAAAGCTAACTTTTGTGGGGGAAAATTTCAGGTAAATACGAGTATTTTACTAAAAACATGGTTATAGCATTTTGAAGATAAAGTAATAATAATAAAGTAACAATATATAACAAGTTTTTAACCACCCATAATTACTTTAGCTGACTGTTGTGTCATCCTGATATTGCCCAGGTCATCCTAAGACACCTTAATTATATTTCATTTTTCTTTTAGTTTTGTTTTGTAATAGATAGCTGAAAAAATCTTTATTACATAAAAGACAACCATACTTTATGTCCGACTATAACAGCCGCTTTCCCATCGCTTCACCTAAGCTTCGATTTTATTGAATCGCTTGGGTTTGTTGCCTTACATCGCAATCGCAATCGGGAAATGCTTACACAAACACAAAATCGAATGTGGCAGTGGCAGTTGGATTAAACTGCTCCGATTGTTCTTCAGTTGGCATAAACAGCGGCGTCAAAATCAATTGCAATAAAGCAACCGCAAGCAAGAAGAGGACGATGGGATGATTCCGCTTAGATACGGCCAGAAATCTGAGCTGACCGTCAGTCGGGCAGCAATTGAAACAAAAGATGAACATTGCGACAGCGACACTAACAATGAAACCCCCACACTCACCCTCACACACACACAATACACGCACAATCACAAACAGGGCAGCACCCACACAAACACACTCGGCCACGGACAGTAAACGTTTTCGAGTGTATGGCTAAGCAAAATGGCAGCAGGAGCTCTGCACTTAAAAAAAAACTAAGACAAACACTCAATACTCATAAAGTAATAATAAAATTGTAGTAAAATTTCTTGCAGATATCTAAAAAAAAAAAATTAAATTAATTTGTGACAATTAAATTAATAACAAATATTATTAACTTTGAAATTTAGAATTTTTTTTTAAGTGATTCAAAGAAGCTTTCGCATCAGCAGTCGAGCAGAAAAGGAGAAGCTTCTGGTGAAAAAAGGAATAGAATCCAGTGAGCAGGATAAGGCTGTTTCGGTTGTGTGTATGTGCAATTTCCTTCTGCTTGGCTTGCAGTTGAGCAAATTTCATACACAATGAGCCACGGCGGCTGCCCCACTTCACCTCTTTGCACCACCGAACTATATAGTCGGCCAAAAAACTAAACCAAGCCAAACCAAACCAAACCCGGCAACACAGCAGATTGGGCAGCGCTGATTTCCGTTGTCCGACAACTGGGAGTATCCTTACTCCTTGCAGAAGGCAAGGAACGTCTGCCTTTGCTTCTGGATTCCAAGGACGAAAGGAGGACAAGGGAAAAGCGGCAGCTAAGCCATAAGTTATTTGATTTAATCAGCGTGTCGTGGCCGCCGGCGAATTCTGAGGTTACGGCTCCAGAATCGAAATGAAACAAAATGTGTGCGTATCAATGGGCAGGGAAAATCACAAAACACCATCGCAAAAGCCCCGGAAAAAATGGGTCACTTCTGTCGGAGTAGATTTATTTGCTTAAATTTCGTTTTCCTTTATATAAATGTAAGTGTCCAGCCCAACCAAATGTATTTATTATGGCAAAATTGAAATAAATCAACTTTATAAGAGCGGTAATTTAATTACCAAGATGTTTAAAATATTGCTATAGAAATATTAAATTGATTCTGTCAGGTATTTATCTATGCTTTACTGATTTAACATTACAAAGTGAATTCCAGAACCCCACTTCAAATAATTCCACAAAGAATGGATTATTCACAGCAATAAGCCAAAATCTTTCAATCCATCAATTCATTTGATAATCAAATTGAAAACCAATTTGCCGCCGTGGGACACGCTAATGATACGAATAAATTGATACAACAATTTGTTTGTCAATTTATTTCCATAACAAGTTTGATTGAATATGACAGCCGTGGCAGCCGAAACAGCCCATCATCAATGGCGATGCAAGTGTATTGAAGGCACGAAAAATGTGGCAAGGGAAGGGCATTTTATGGGGCATCAGGGATTCTGCAAATACTCGCTTTTTGTCGTGCGTCGTGTAAATTAATTTAGGACTGGTTGGCAGATGTACAAAGCGCAGAGACAGAGAGAGAGATGGCGACCACATTAATATAAATTAAGTACAGCTGCGAAAAAAATAATAGCACCACCTACTCGAGCAATGTTTGGATAGTCACCCTACCTATATTTTTAGCTTTATCAGAACGTGCAATACCTTTTTGGAATCGAATCGCAACCAAGAAACAATAAATGAAAAACAAATGTTGATGTTTGTTTTAGTTTTTCAATAATTCAAGAAGTTTTATCAAAACTCATAAAACTTAACGAAAAAAATAATAGCACCACTTTTTAAAAATGGTTTTAAAATTACAGGAACTACCAAAAATCATGAGATATTAGTATTGAACTATTAAATCTATGTTATATTCTTCATTTAATACTTTGTGATGTATCCTTTATTGGAAATAACAGCTGCGCAGCATCTTTGCATGGAGTCAACTATGTCCTGGCATCGATTTATGGGAATTGAGTCCAGGACTCCTTAATTACTTCCCAAAGGGATCCAATGAATGTTGCTTTTGATGCAGCGACTGCCTTCTTGACGTCCGACCACAGATTCTCTAGTGGGTTAAGGTCTGGAGACTGCGGAGGCCACTCCATAACGTTCACAGAGTTGTCCCCATACTATTTATTTGCCTTTTTGCTGGTATGTTTTGGGTCATTATCTTTTTGGAAGACCCACACGAGCGGCATTTCATATTCTGCCAAAGGTAGCTTACTCGTTTCCATGATATCTACGTATACATGCCGATCCATGATGGTTTTGATCCAATGTATCGGGCCTACTCCGTAATACGAAAAACAGGCCCATACCAGCACACAACACCCTCCATGCTTTATGGTCTTTATGGCCTTTGTGATGTACTGGGGTTTGTTTTCTGAGTTCCTTGGACGTCTGACATACGATCTGGATCCTTTTCCACCAAACATAACCACCTCGCTCTCATCTGACCATAAAATACCCCTACTCTGTTTGGGTGACCAATTTGCATGATCCTTGGCTAATTTTATTCGCTTAGATACATTTCTGGCATTTAATAGTGGTACCTTTTGTGGGCTGCAGGCTTTAAGATTATGTTGCCTATGATATGCAAGCACAGTTTACTAAGTCGCATTTATTTTAGGCTCCACTTAAAGCTCAGTAGCAGATTTGAAAGGATCCTTCTTGCTCTGACAAATCAATCGATTGACATGAAGGGGGGTCATAGATCGCTTTCGTCCTTATGTTTCAAGGATTTTCAGGTTTTTCGTTATAGTTTAGAGCATTCTTAATCATTTTATGTGAACATCCGACCAATCGACCAACTTCCCTGTACGATTTTCCATCCTTTATAAGCTTTTGGATGATATCACGTTTTTCCTCAGTGTAGTGCTTTCCACGCCCCATTTCAATGATATTGTCAAACTTTTTATGATCAAAATATTGAAATTATAGACTAATCTTATTGCCACTTTCTTTGTATTAAGGCTATTCAGCAAAATATGGGGTATTTGCTAATAAATGTGGTAGTGGTGCTATTATTTTTTTCGCCATTTTTTGGGCTTTTTTAATAAAATATTTAAAAATAAATATATAGGCAGAATTTTAAATCATGGTAACACATTTTTTGGTTAGAAAGAATACTAAAGATTACAAAAAAATTTTATGTTGAAATAAACAAGCACTGAAAACAATTTTATTTTACCCAGAAAAAAATGTATTGGAGTGGTGCTATTATTTTTTTCGCCACTGTACATGGCCCGGCAGAAACGGCTAAAAAAATGCTTTCAGCGCCCATTACGAACCGGCTATGGTCTGTTCTAATCTAATTTATGCCCTAAATGGCTCACTGGCCTGGGGTATCTGAGTTTCTGGAGGTGAAAAAGGTCTGGACCAACTAAGAATTTAAAGGAAAGATAACTTTGAAGCACCAATGTTACATTTCAGTCCATAAGACATAAAAAAGCAAAGAAATGTTTCAGAAAATAATCTTATGCTTTTTACAAATTTAAGGTACGCAAAACTGATAGAGAAATTCCTAGAATTTAATCGTTAATAAATACGTTTTGTAGTTTGCTTTCCATATGGCTTTAAGCACCCCAGTATTCACGACAATTACTCCACGAACCAGCAAAAAATACGTGTATAAGTATACAACACTTACCATATTGACTTATGGTTCAACTTTAATCTGCAGCCCTTTATTCGCAGCAATTGATAAAACGGTTTTCACCGGGGAAAAAACACCCCATTCATAGCGAAGAATGCCCTGAAATGGGTCAATTAAATATTGATTGGGACCGGTTGCAGGCCACAGCCAAAAAAAAAAAAAAAAAAAAAAAAGGAGTAAAAACGGAAGGGAAGCCGGACTGGCGGGCAATGGCGGACCCAAAAGCCATTCGGCGGGCTGTCATCGCCAGTGCGGCTCCAATGACAATAAAGTGCAATAACCAGACACAGGGACCATTGAACCAGCCCGGGCAGCCCAGTGGAGTCCCGCTCCTGACCACTAATCCAAACATAATCTAAAATAATTGAGTATGCCCGGCACAGGACGCGAAGCTTTTTTCCGGGGCCTCCATCCCCCCGTCCGAACACTCTGAATAATTTATGCGCGCATTAAATAAGCTTAAAATGTGTGTGCGGGCTATGCTTTTTCTTTTAGTGTTCCAAATGGAGTGGGTCTATCTGGTATCTGCTATCTGGTTACTGGTAGCTGGTATCTGTGTGTGGCCCGCGGCCATTGTCTGCCACACTTCGGCTTACATGGGTTAATGCCTGGAACGGGAGAGGGAACGGGACCCTTGTGCGTTGCCAAGAGGCTATGGCTTATGACATAAGTTTATGTTTTCTCCCCGCTGCGGAGACCGAAACTCGGCGAGTTGTCGCCTTCGCGGCGAAATCGCCAGGGGTTATGCAGCATTTACTCCAACCGAAGCTTATCTATGCAACTTCAAAGCTTTTGTGATGGCCCAGTCACATTCACATGAGTTTACAATCCATGGACGTTGAGCTGCAGCAAACGTGGCGTATGCGCAATATCTCCAGCTTCTTCATCCTCATCCTCATCCTCTTCATCTTCTTCTTTTTCGCCATCTTTTGTGTTACGAGCATAAAATGGTGTCGCAAAACTGCAACCGGAGCAGAGCATCGACAAAAAATAAAACCCAGAAAAAAACCGGAACAACAGAAGGGCCCCTGGCTTTAAATCAGTGCAGGGCACCAACAACAACAACAAAAACAGCAAAAACAACAAGGACACAGGGATACTGCTGAGACTCCAGTAAAAAAAAATCAGGGAAAGGACGAAGGGTTGAAGGGAATTCAACTGGCGGACGTCAGGTAAATGCATTTTTACCCTCGCAAAATAAACGTAAATATAATATTAAGTGCAGCAGCAGCAACAACAACAACGCCATCAATATCAACAAATTGGTTTATGCAAGGAAAACAGCAGCAGAAAATGAACGGGGTACGAAAATATATATATTTTTAAAAGCAAATGGGGTTTAAGAATTAAATTCATTTTTAAAGAAAAGCAAAAAATCAAATGCCTTCATAACGTAATGCTACAATAAAGAACGACTATTTTTGTGACTTTTTCTGCACGATTCTATGCAATAAACTGCATCATCAACGACAACTTTTCGAAGTCATCTGTAAATCAGTTGACTTCCATTGTCCACTGCTGGATTTCTCATGTCAGCGACTATCGATCCGTATCAATCGGGGTTCGGTTATCTGGCCTACTTCCATTGCTTGTCAAAGTTGTTCCAGGAGGCAATGCTTTTGTTATCCTTCGAGCCTGGGTTATCTGGCCGAAAAGAGTGTCTGCCCTGAGACCCGAAATGCGAATGTTATCAACGTTTTAGATACAAGCCGAAAGGGACTAGATGGAAAAATCTGTGGTATCGGGCGAAATTCGAGCTCATACAATTTGCAGTTAGCTCTCGCCTTATGCTTGGCCAACTGATACAGGATACCAATCCCGCACTCTCTTCACCAACTCACGTTCCCTCCAGGCATTTGTCTGCACTAAGAGAAATAGTTTACCAAATCTTCAAGATTTTCTGTTGTTTTAATTTCGGATTTTTTATATAAAGAAAATGTATTATAAGCTCAGCTAGCATGATATAATCAAATTATATTTTATTATTATATTTTCAACCTTTCTATCACAATAAACAACTAAGTAATAATAATAGTTTGATTTTAAGTAGAGTAAATACGTTTTTTTCTGTCGGTGTGCGTGTGTGCTGGTTCATTGTTGCTGCGGCTTGTTTGGTTTTATTGTGTTTATATTTGGCTTAGGGCATCAATTTGCTTTTATGCAAGGACGACTACGACGGCAAGGAGTTCAGGACTCAGGCTGTAAGCCAGCATTATCGGCAAAGTCAGGCTAGGCAGCAATAACACAAATATGTCTATACTCGTATGCTTGTGCATGTGTAGCATGTACCATATACTCGTACAAAGGGGCATATTGCATTAGCTGCTACTGCCACAATGTTGCATCGATTACATAATCCATTTACACAAATGGCATTTTAAATACATTATTGACTGAAGCGTGGAGCGCGTATTGAACAAGGCTTCAGTTCGTTCAACGTTGCGTATGCGTAATGTGCAAGAGCAACGAAAGAGCAGTGCAAACTCAATAGATGTGTTCGTGTGAGTGGATGGTTATATATAGATACGCATTAAATTCTCTCTATTTAACAGATGTTTAATTAGTGCACAAATGCAATTACTGCAACTTGATAAGCTCGTAAAGGGCAAGGCGAAAGCGACTTAAAATGGCTTAAGACATTGGCTTACATTTATTATAACTGGCACAGATAACACATCGTTTAATTAAACATTGTTGAAGTCCATTGATACGGCAAAGGCTTAGATGATTAAGTTATTTCCAGGCCTTTCCATATGCTACGGTGTTGATTCAAATTTAATTCTACAGCTTTTCTCAAGTTAATAACGATTCAAATTTCATAAGCTGCAGCTGCAAGAACTGAACAGTCAAATTATTTGCTTTAACCAGACACACATTAGATATTTAGTCATATTTACGCAGCACGAGCAAATAGATGGGAGAAGTCAAAGCAAATATAAATCTCAAATTAATTCGAACTGATGTCAATAGTTAGCATTGACTTCACAGCTGACAAACAGGGATTTAAATTACAAACGAATTACTCTCAACTACAGAAATTTCTCAAATGACCACTCGACGAAAACAAAAAGATATTTCATTAAATATTTTTGCAGTTGACACACGACTCTTGATAATGAGGCATTTGACTTTGAAGTGGCGCCACCTGCCGCAGAGATATTTGCGTTCGAGTGCAGCACTCCGATCAAACATAAAAAGTACCCAAACAAACATCAACAGCATTACCATATGGCCATCATTAAAATGATGATGATGAGCAGAAAAGTGCACACACGCCACAAAGCCATTTACCGAACTGAATCGTTTGGCACGTTTCGGCCCACAGATGGCGTATTGATGATGATTGTATGCACATCGCATGGACGACGATGATGAGGATGCAATGCCTGACGCCGATAAATTGAAGTGTAGGCAACAAAGCAGGGGCTGAAATCGCTCATTAATAAATATTAAGTCATAATTAAACAGTTGCACTGGTGCCTGGTGCAAATCGAAGCTTTTGATGAGATTTAAGAAATATTTAAAATACGAGTATATTCACAGCCTTCACGCCACCCGGTAGGCAGCTGCAAAATGCAGGCGAAATCAAGCAGCAAGAAAATGCACACGGAAACTAAAGCCGCATAGAAATGGATAGTAGAAGCGATGAAAAAATAGCAAAGCAAGAAAAAAATACAAAAATAAAGGAAGGAAAATCAAGCAGCCAGACAAAACCACAGGCACTAAAGATACCGAAAAGTAATGGAACTAATTGCTCGTCGAAAGGCGGCCAGGCTATCAGTCAAAAACCCATTGTTCCCCAATGAAAGTGAAAATGCCAATGCCAAGCTCAAAGCCAACTAGCTGCAATAATTGGAGCAACTGCAACTTGCAACCTGCAGCCAGTAGCTAGTAGCTAGTAGCTGGTAGCTGGTAGCAACTTGCAACAACCAATTGGCAACTGCAAGTATATAAAAGCAAGTGCTTGACGCGCAGGCGCCGACAGTTGAAATTCGCCAACAGCCGCGAATCGAGCTCTTAATTCGAAAATCTGCACTCGCCAATCGCTATTGCTGGAATATTCAAATCGAGCGCTGTGGGAATTTTCGCGTCTATTATTGGCCAACATGAGGAAGCATTGCGTAAGTAAGCCAGAAATGGATTACCAAGGAAGTGTAACACATCACATCAGCTAATTGGCACTGTCAATCGATTTCGCATCCGGTCTCATTTGGATTACCCCAACTTTTGTCGTAGATCAATGGAATTTGGCTGCTCTTGCTGTTAAAGCTGATTTTGGTCAGGTGCGAGCAGTCGGGAGAGGATCAAAGGTGAGTCTAATAGGATTCTTGAATAAATAAAATAGTGATTTTAATATTATAGCAAACAAAAATTGATTAATAAAAATCCAAGGATTCTAAAGTAAGATATATGATAAAAGAAAGTGTCGAACTATTAAATAACTTTCCTAAAAACACGAATGTAGCCAATAAAAGAGTTCGAGTGACTAGGTAACAAATCTTTTTACTACTATCCAGTATTTATAGTCTTTCAATGAACCACGTATACTTCTTTCTCAGTTTATGATCGCCTTTAAGAGCTCATAAAACCCCAAACTTTTACTTTCACTTTCCGCGCAGAATCCAGCGTCGTTTTATGTGGCAAGATATGAACAACTCGGTGATGGGCGGCGTATTGGGACGGATGTTCAAGGGAGCCCGGGCGATGAAGTCGATGCTGACGGATCTCATGCCGAACACGGCGGGATATAGCCATAAATCCACCATGGAATTCCTGCCCACGGAGACGACGCGTGTGAAGTACATCATCCGCAATCCGCACAACAACAAACCGATGAAAATCATCAAGATGCGACCGTCGTCGAAGAAGGTTGTCAAGCTGAGGAGACCCGTGCCGAAGACCACGATCACGGAGTCCACGGTGATGATCTCCCACGCAGTTCACAACGACAACCGCATGAGGCAGTTGGAAAAGGAGCAGGAGCTGATTGCCGAGGGCAAGGCACCGATAACCAGTGATGAGGCCATCATGGATAAGTACTTCAAGAAGCGAACCCGAGGCGGCTCCCCCAACGAAGTGGTCTCCGGCAAGATCATGGAGTACCAGAGTTGGAAGCCCGTCTACAAGCCGGGTGAAACGCCCTCCTCTTTTGTTACCCTAAAACCCCAACCTTTGACCCGTTTGCACACGGATATATCCAGTGGAGATCACGAAATGCTGCCCAAGCCCGAGAAACTGGTGAGCTACGAGTACGAGAGGGACGAGGAGGAGGAGGCGGAGAACGAGGTGGCCAAGCAAACGGGTCACCACTACGAGGTCACCGAGCACACAGGCGAATCCGGTGGTGAAGAGGATACCGTGGAGTCGGTGGGTTCGATGGAGGGAGGTTTTGTGCCCAGTCAGGGGATGATTTTCAGGTCGCCGCCACCGCAGCAACTTCCACCGAGGCCCAGACACCGACCCACCTCCACGACGACCACCACCACCACCAGCACCACCGAGGCGCCCAATTATCCGGCGTCGTTTTTGAAGAAATACCGCGAAAGGGAGGCAGCCATGAGCACCACCACCAGGCGGCCTCGAAAGCACCACCACCCGAAGGAGTTCTATGTGATCCGCGAGGGCGAGGACTCCACCGAGGGCAGCACCACTCCGCCCTCCTTCTCGATGAGCAGCTTGCGGGCCCGTCTCCAGGATCAGCAGCGCCACCAGAAGCAGCAGCAAAAGCAGCAACTGGAGGATGAGGAACTGGAGGCGGCGCTCGTGGATGCGATGCACGGCGACAAGTGGCCATCGGAGGTGGCGCACAGTGGCTTCCAGCTGGCCAGTCCCATTGGTCCGAGTGCCGTGGCCTTCGAGCAGCCGTTGGCCAAGGCGCCAAGGGGTCAATACAAACGCCAGACCCGCGACAACATTCGCCAACGCGGATCCGTCAAGTTTGGCGATAAGCCCTACTACGATGAAGTCTGAGGAGCGAGGGAACCAAAGAGCCGAAGGCTACACGGTCAGAAAATACTAACTAAATTGCGTAGTTTTGTATACCAAATTCTGTGACATGTGAAAATTCGCTAAAGAGCAATGACATTTCGGACTCTTGATTAATTTATAACAAGACAAAGATTTTATTCAGTTCAAAAATGTACAAGTCAAAATTATAACAATATTTATAACTAGCATAGAAAGACAACAAAGTGTTACAAGTAAATCTAAACAATAAACTAGGAAAACTGTATTTAAAAATACATTTACAATTTAAAGCAAGTGTGCAATAAAGAAATTTAAAAGTAACATTAACACATTTTTATTTTATGGTAACCAAATAAGAAGGATTTAATTTCAATGTTTTTCCCCTGTGTCGGCTTAACTGTTAACCACATTTGAACTTTTTTTAATTGGCTTATCTAAGATTTAAGACTAGCGTTTCTCGCCGGGGAAAAGCAAGCCGAAACCGAAACATTTGAACAGCAATTTCCCATTGAGTTGCATTTCATTCGCGGCACGGAGTCAATGCACCCGAGGCACGCAATAATATGCAGCATGCCGCAACGGACTTAAAACTCTGGAAATATTTTGACTTTTAATTAATGCCAGTTAGCTATTTTCGCTCGGATGTTTATGTGTGTGTTATCGCATTCCGCTTAGCAGCTAGCATTTGACAACTAATTTAAAAAGTTTACATGGCCGACAGCCTTGGGCGCTGAAATCGAGAGCATTGCGGCGAAGTGGGTTAAACCTGCTATAAATTCCAGAACAAAAGCCATAAGACACACTGTGCAAAAGGGATGGGTATAGCGGATAGGGGATAGGATAGGGGGAGCAAAAGAGATAGCCAGATGGAGGGGAGAACAAAGAAAAGCGCATTTCCACTTTGAGTGCGGTTTTTAATCAACTAAAGCACCGCCAACAACAAACTGCAACTGAATTAAAAAACTCAGAATGCCCACTAAAACCCAAGGAAAGGGAAAATGGAAAAGGGGAAATGGGGAAGAGGGAAAGGGGATGGAAAGCAAAGAGAGAACGCGATAAACTTTAAATGAAACGACATGTCGGCTTAACTGGCAAGGGAAAATGCAGGGAAACGCCGGAAAACTGGGGAGCCTACAGATTGGAATTGCCGATAGCCAACAATGCAATAAAAGTAAGATAAGAGAATTCTAAACTGTGGGATGGGCCAGGGAAAAATAATGATTTCAGTTGAGTTTACATCGATATATTTTGCCGAAGATTCAGATTTCAATATATTATTTTATTATTAATAAATAACTAAGCAAACATACCTAAACAAGCTAAATTAATGTTCTTTGGTAACTATAATTTTGTTTTAACATCACATACAAACTTAAAGGAATTGTAGCCAGAATTTTCTTTGGCATGCTAAAAATTAATCTTTCAGAAGCCATTAACTTTGTTTTCATCCAAAAAACCCCAAGCTAAACTAAGTTTTCTATTTTATTTAGCACTTTTTCTTCGCAAGAAACTTTGGCAAACTTTCGTTTATCAAGAAATTAGATGCTTTATATACTCTCAATACTTGTGCAAGATTTTCGTAGAAAATAAAATTTCTCTCTGTTAAAAAATATGACTGCAAATCTACGGAAAAGTCAAATTTGCCAGCGAAGAGTGGAATCAAGATGTACTTTAGCTGGAGAGCAGGTGAGTGGCTGGCAATAACAAATTGTGTGTTGTGTTGTCGGCCACGCCCTTCGGCGAAGTCTCTCACCTACGCCCACGAAAACAGCAAACAAAAGTTGGCAAGTTGAATTTGCCTTTTTTCAAGGACATTATTGGGACATGGCTGTGCTGACTTCTTTTTGTGCATATTTGGGTGGGTTCGAAGCCCAGGGCCCATGTCGACCTATACACCTGTCCGACTGGCAGGAAACGTGTCCCCACCGCCCTCCTGCCACGCCTCCTAATCCCGCCCCGAAGGCTGTCCCACTGTCGAGTGCACCAAATACAAATTAGAATTTAAATGAACAATGCAACCAGAGCGGAAGTTTCTGCGAGTGTGAGTGGATTTCAATAGAGGTGAGTGGGTATTAGTAAAAACACTGAGACAAAATCAATGACATATGTTTATAAAAATTGTAAGTGTTGAAAATGGAAATGTTATATAATACTTTGGATAAAAAAATATTTAATTGTATTTTCGTTTAAAACATATAATTTTAATCATTGAATGTACTTACGGAATATTTATATAGTACCAACAAATTTATTTTATTTTATAAACCGAAAATCAAGGGTTTTCAGACTCTGTTTAATTTAGTTAATTTTTTTTCATTGCATTGAGTACAGTATATGTGTGGGTGACATTATGGGTGGCATTGCACGTAGAACGCGTGGGCTAGCAACATCACCAACAACAACAACAACAACAACAGCAGCAAAAAGAACTCCTGGCAATGGCCATAATGTCATACAGTTTGGCGCGTACTTTTTGTCACTTTCCCACTGCCTCTCTTCACCCAACTTCGCCTCTTCTTCTTCAACGTGCTCTTTTTGGGGGTATTTCGTGAAAACTGAAAATAAGAGGAAGAAAAAGTTTCGAGATTTTTGCACTGAAGGCGATGTCAAACTGGGTCGCTTCAACTCAATGTCAAACGGATTAATGGAATTTCCCCACGAACAATTTTCGGAAAAATGCAGCCAATGTTCGAAGTCGGGAGAAGAAATTGAAAATTATCATTCTTTAATATCAATATTGAGTTTAAAAAATTCTCAATGAGAGAAGTCAAAGTGGTTGATAAATTTCTATACAAAAATTTAGAAATAGAGAAATAATTGATAAAGTTTTATATAAGCTTTACAAATTTAAAATGGTATTTAAACCGTTTTCAGATTTATGATAATAATAGCTTTTACATTATTTTATAAATAGGTATAATTTAAAAATAATGGTTTTTTTGATAAGTTTTTTGTTATTTATTTCTTGTGGACTGCACGATAATAAAACAATGGGCATGCCAATCAGGATGCAAATCGATTGCGGAAGGCGACTTCGAACGACAATCCTTTTCGGCCATTCTTTTCGAAACGAAATTGTGCGGGGATTCTTCTACAGAGCAGCCGACCAAGTCAATTAAATATTGAAAGAACGTTTAAATTGCGGCCCGGTTAACTGGCGAAACGGTTAAACATGAGCTGCGTGCACTCGCCACTCATTCATTAATTTGCCCGGCACCTTCTGGCGACCTACTGCTGTCAAAGTTGAATTTATTAAAGCGAAATTCTTTTAATTAAAAACGTGACAGGTGAAAAATGGCGGTGGGCGGCGGGCGCTAGGCGGTGGGCAGTGGACAGTGGGCGGTGCACATCAAACTGAATCGTGTTCAAATTATATTAATTATGAAGTCGGACAATTCGACTGAAGCCAATTTGGCTGTGTCGTCACAGCGAACATTGAACTCGCAATCAGCGAAGCCAGCGTATGTGGCACGAGCTGATTCATTTGGCGGAGAAAACATTTTGTTTGCTTTCCGAGAAACCCCCACATACACAGGCAGAAATCAAGGGCGTGGTTGGGTGCAGCTGGCAGCTAGCAGCTAGCAGCGATAGCTCCCTGGCATCGTTTAGCGTCAGGTTGCGAAGTGCGAAATGTTCCCAGCTCGCTAAAAAATTAAATATTCAAATATAGCCGTTGCCACTGCTCAGAGGGAAATCTAAAACTGGGGGAAAAGGCGAAAAGGAGCTGGGCCGTTGCAAAGGAATGCGGGTGGAAAAAGACCCGTTTAGCTTTCGGATCCAGAGCTCTCGAACTGAAGAGGGACACGAGCAGTTGCACACATCCATATGCATATCCTGCAGCCGACAAAAGTGGTCCAAAAATTTTTTATACATATTGCTTTACAATTATTCTCAGAGGAGAATGTTCTTTTATCAGTTCGACGTTTTAAATCTCAAAAGTCATAAAAAGAACAACATTTTTGGATGAATGAGTGGACCAGTTCTGATATCGGAGTGAACGTTGGGGTATTCTACAAAAATTGTTCTACATAATCGCTTAACTCTTGCTCATAAGCTCTTGTTTTTTTTTAACTATAAAGCAGTTGTGGCATTAGTCTTTACCAAATCAGTCGAAAAAAATCATTAACGTAGACACATCGCGGTTTTTCACTTTCTCAATCTTTTAATATTTAATATTTTATTGTGTAGTTTAAAATATATAATTTATAGTTTATTTTTATTAAAAAAAAATGCTGCTAATTTTTATAAAATCGTTTCATCTGTTTATAGCGGAAATGATAACAAATTGTCTTTTGCTAGTTTCAAATTTAATTGAGTCACTTGAAGATGCCGGGTCTTCTAAAACAGGACAGACTATTGGTAAGCTAAAATATTTTAACGATTTGATTGCCTGAGTGAGTACCTCATAGTATTTCTTCAACAGTGATATCACTATCTCTGATATGTTTGGCTCTTACGATCGTTGTGTACATCTTGGTCGACTATCTGCAGAACTTTTTAGGCAAATGTTTCGTTTCCTACATGGCTTCGCTGTTCATGGGCTTTCTATTCCTACTGCTTGACTCATGGGGTTTATCGCAGAGTTTTTGCCTTACAGCAGGTTAGTTGACTGGGTTTTTTGGTGACCAATATTGTATCTCGCTCTCTTAATATCTTTTCCAGGTTTCATAGGTTACTTCTTTGTGATGGCAGCCTTTCTTTGGCTTTCTGTCATCAGTCTGTACCTCTGGATGTTCTTTGGCGGCAACTACCAATTGATAAACTTTCGCATTCTGCCCTTCACAATTTACATTTGGGCTGTTGCAGTTGCCTTGACCGGAATCACTTATTTCGCTGATCAGTTCATTGAAAACAAGAATGTAAAGCCAAGTGTGGGCGCGGAAGGTCATTGTTGGATCTACAGTAAGTTTTCATATTCATTCGAGATTAGGGGTTTTAATAAGTCTAAAACTAATTACAGCTCGAGGTTGGTCTGCCGTGATCTACTTCTTTGGCCCAATCCAACTCATTACAATGTTTAACACAACAATGTATATCATTACGCTTATTCGCATAAAGAGAGTCTGCGAAAAGGTACCAAATGCAAACATAAACATAAACCATGTGTTCCTACGCCTCTTCTTCATTATGGGTGTGTCGTGGAGCTTGGAGATAATATCCTACGCGGTGCAGGATAACCCATTTTGGGCAAACATTTTCGAGTTCGTCGACTATTTGAATTGGTCACAAGGTATCATCCTGTTTGTGCTCTTTGTTTTGAAACGCAACACGCTACAACGTTTATGGAAAAGGTAAGTTATCTGTTATCCTTAAAAATCCTTAATAACCAGTTCTCTATTTGAATAGTGTTTCTTGCGCGAAAACTGAGGACGATAGAATATC